TTCTTAGCTTGGAGATGAGGGTGAAGCCACATAGACTGTAAACACATGATGAAAACATATACCTGGGATTTTTATGCAGCTAAAGCTGCCAAAAGGTTTGAACTATGTTTTTCATTTTCCATTCCACATTTGGGTCGTATGGGTCGCAGCTGTTGGTCCACAGTACCTTCACCAGTCACCACTTCCGAGCTGTCGGGAGCCGCTACCCCCACAAGAGTTGGGTTACACTTAGTATATCAATGTATATCACCTGTAATTTTATGTAATTTTGACAATACACCCAATCACTTTGGAGATATATTTCTATATATTCACACACACACACATATATATATATAATACATATACATATTTACCCCATAACCCCCCATATCAGTGGGTATATCTATATCTATATATACACACCTCAAAATCCAATGATTTATCGTCATACGCCGTCTATTCAATGGCCACTTTCTTCGTATCCCGTATTTTCAGACACAAGTATATGAGGCCTTCCACAGAAAATCATTTAAATGATGGATCCCCTTAAACTTTAGATATCATGCATTTCACATATCATCCATTTCCATGGTTTTTTGGGTTCCATAAACCATCCAATTTTAGGGCCACATTTATGGAAAACCCCCAGGAGTTGTGAAGCGCCGGGCGAATCATTTGCACCTGGCGGAGCATCATCCGCGCACCTCCTATCCGTTCCCAGAGACGGATGCTGGGTGCAAGGCAGATAAGTATAGTAATACTGTTATCAGTTATCATTATTTTACCCACATTACTAGTATTCTTGTTATCAGCATAATGTTTATAACAGATAAGTAGGCTTATTATTATAAGAATACTAGTAATGTGGGTAAAATAATAATAAGCCACCCATTTGCGCATGGTTTATACCACCTATTTATGGTGATTTGGGGGATGGTTTATTATTGTTTTACCCACATTAATGATCATAATTAATATGCATCACATTAGTTTGGTATAACAAGAGGAATGGCAATAGTAGGACTGATAATATCGATACTATAGAAATCACGATATTTATTGCAGTAATGATAATGAAAGTAATCTGGTTGGTGGATCATTTTCCCTTAACATTTATGTGTTTTCACAGGATTGAAACCACCAACCAAAGAATATATTGCCAGTGATGATGATAGTGACAACAATGATGACAATCATGAAATATAATAATGGTACTCAAGACCCATAAAAATGATGTTTAGTAGGGGACGGGAACCTTGTGTGCCTTGAGTGCCTAGTGAAGATTCTCTTCAGCCACAAGGTCTCGAATGCTATCATGGTTGAGAAAGCTCGGGTCATACTTTTTGCAAAAAGACACCAGCGGCTGATAAATTAAGGTTGTATCCTTGCGATTTCTTTGGTTTGGCTTCTTGGATTGTGTTTGGACATGTTTGGAATCTCTGCTGTTTAACTTTCCTACATTGTAATAGTGGTTGAGGCGCTGGAAAACACGGCACATATGCAGCTCCTTCACCAAGGAGCACATTGTGATCGTCGAGTTCGTGCTGCTGGACTTGGATCTCTTAGATCCCGAAATATCAATCTACGGTGGATAGAATGGGCATGTAGAATGGCGATTTTGCTTTGATGAGATAATGAGATCCGTTTTTTTTGGGGTTGTTGATATCCTGGTACTGCTGGCAGCCCGTGCAGTGTCTGGCCTCCGTGTGTTCCATTCCAGAATGGATGATCTTGGATGAAAAATCCCCAAATCATCAACGATTTGTGGTGGATTCAGGTCTCGCAAGTTGGTCTTCGTCTTCACGAATGAAGTGGAAGCCCAGCGCTTCCTGCTCTGTTCCCTGGATGGGGGTGGGGTATGATGGGCTATGAAACCTGGCAAAAGTGGCCATAGAATGGGGATGTTATATGTATATATATATATTATATATTATATATATATAAATATGTATTTATATATGATGGGAGAGGTAATCAACTTAAGATTCATTTTGAGAGAATGGGGTATACCACCAGTTATGGTCTTCTAAGAGGGACACTGATGACTAACCAGTGGATTCAAGGGGTTCCTATTACAGACAAACCCATACATCCAAGAAACACAGATCGTGAAACCATTTTATGGGCTGGTAGAGTCCCCTTGCTGGATGGAGAGTAAGGGAAACCCAAATCTGGAAGGGGCACCGCTGCATCAAGTCATTAACGCCGCAAAATTCCACTAAGATCGTGCTGTTGTGAACCCAGATGAACCCAGGTATGGTGGGAAATTGCTCTACAATTCCCACTATAAATGAACTAAATGGAACTGCGAAAGCACCTGAACCATCTTAACCTGGGCCCCCCTTGAACTCACCATCTGGCTTTGGAATCCTTGATGAATTTGTGCCCACACTGCGGTTCACCATGGTTTCAGGTAGCCTCTAAGAAAACCAAGCTTTGCTCGCTGGAAAACCTCTCGTGTTGACCAATTTGTAGATAACTTCCCCCCACAAAACAAAGATAAACAACACATGGAAATTACCAAGCTACGCAGTGGAAAATTGGATCATTCTCGCTTAAATCCTCCAATCTTCTCGGATGAATCATCGAGGGAATCATCAAACTGAGCAATCGAACATGAGCTGATTTGGACGCAAACAACATGAAAAAACTAGGGATTTTCCATGATTTTCCACCAACAACTGGGGTTTTTCCACCAACAACTGGGGATTTTCCACCAACAACTGGGGATTTTCCATAATTTGTTCCATCATTTTCCTAGAAAAAGGATCCGACCGCAGGTTTCGAGTTCTTGACCTGGCAGAGTCAGCACGATGAGCGGCCGCCGGGAGTACCCAGTTGTGTGGGATTGTTACCCTCTGGTTATGACTAACATAGCCATGGTATAGATGGCCCATAGAAATAGATGGATTACCTAGTAAGAATTGTGATTTTCCATGGCTATGTCATATGTGTGGGATGGTTAATCGCTAATAATGAGCAAGAATCGTCATTTGAATGGTTTTCATTTCCCATGTTCGGATGCTTTTCATGGAATTTTCACTTTAGGGTCGCTGAAAGTTGCGTGGGTGAGCTGTGCAGGTTCGATGGCTACCGGGAACGCATCATACCGCTCTTCGATGGGGAACTGTCAGGCGCGGCATGCTGTGTTTCGAATACTGAGTTCTCCTATTGGAATTCAGGGATCTCCAACTGCCGCCTTTGTTTTTTGAAGATACTTGGAGGGTTTTCCTCCTGTTCTGTTTGTCAGTTAAACCATGTTAATCCCCCGGATTTGGTTGGTCAAAAAAACCGCATTGGTTGAAGGTAAAATCTTCACCGGAAAGCCATATGTTAGGGGGGTTTTGCATGGTTTTGCTATAGGATTTCCTATCATTCCTGCAGGTTGGTGAGCTTGGCACAAAAACGAGCTGCTGCTGAATGTGGCGGTGGGGATCCGAAACTTGGGGTTTAACGTGGCAATGGACAGACCCTGTTGTAGCACGGGGGCGCGTCTCCTGTCAAGGGATCAATCTAGAAGGAATTTCTGACTAAGAGTACCCTTCCATGAAACAGACCTTTTGTGGATCTATTTTCTTTGAGCTCCTAGAGGTTCCAAATTTTGAGACAGGCTGATGTAGGCCAATATCAATGTCCTGGTCATTCGGGGGTCCCTCGAACTGGCTCAGCATGGATCTCTGACTGCCAGCTTGAATTGCTGGAGGGCCGATGGTCGCTCAACTGCCAGATTTGGTTTCTTGAAATATCTTAAAATTATTAAAAGGGTGAATTTCCAATGGCCTCCAGATGTGAAGATGTGATTTCTTTAAGTAAAAGTCTTCCGCAATGAGTCAATCCGTGGTATCCCCCGGTTGGAGTGGTTCAATTTGGATGCCCACGATGCCCGTGTGACATTTCTCCAATAGCGCCCTCCGTTGGCCAAAGCTGCCATGCGCTGGGCGGCGAGTTGCCGATGAGTTGCGGATGTGGGGATGGGGTGAAGCCAAAAATCAAAACATCCAACTTCACTATTTGAAACCAGATACCCTCTGGTAATTTAACATAGCTATTGAAAATGGCCATTTATAGTGAGCTTTCCCATTAAAAACGGTGATTTTCCATAGTTATGTTAAATTACCAGAGGGTATCATGGGCTTTGATGCTGTTCCATCTGTTCCTGTTCCTGGCAATGGCACGAGCATCGCAATTATGATAGCACCATTAGAAGCACCTGTGCACAGGAGAAACGTTTTTAATGTTGGAAGGACATGTGGATAGATAGATGGATAGATCGATAGATAGACATGATATAGATAGATTTGGATTTGGATATGTGTTCATTGTTGAATTTACCATAGTTTTGGACCTGAGGTGTACAATCCTTTAGTTGATTTACATATTTTACATACTAGTCACCCTATGAGTTACCGGAAAATTCTATTTGGATCATCCAGAAGTTGGGACACCTCTTGGTCTCATCCATTGCCAGAGTCTCACCTGCTGAGAATCAGCAGGCGAAGCCAGGAACCCCCGAAGGGCGGGAAAATCGTTGCGGAAAGTCGTTGCATCCCTGAAAACTTACTGCAGAACCCCCAAGGTAGCAACGATGGCTTTGTCTCTTCAGACTTTCTAGTAATGTTTTAGACATCTCAGATCTGAAATGTCTTAAGGGCTAAAAGCTGCTACCGATGCGATGAAGGGATTGCAAACCTTTCATGTTTCGGATGCATGTGGCATGTGCTTCGGTTAGCTGACTTGTTTACAGTAGCTTACAGCCATAATTTTCCATTTTTGAATAATTAAGATGGCCTGTTGCGGATGAACTCTGATCAAATCGATGGCCCGTTGGAACATATCAAACATATTCAAACATAAACCAGCGGCCACTCTACTCATATATACATACTATCATACTTGACAAATCTTAAGAAGCTACAGGATTCTCACCATCCAAAAGCGTTGACACCCAAACAATGAAGAAATCGTTTTCTTGTTGGACATGGCCATGTTGAAAAAGCCCATGATCATGTGATCCCCGCAGCACAGAAGCTGGTGGCTTCCGAGTCCCCCCGTTGTGGCTTCCAAACACCGCGCCGACTTTCCGGCCAACCCACGTTCCGAGGCTGGCTGGGATCGAAATCCACGGGTATCCCATGGATTTCAGTGGAAAAAACCGGGGCAAAAAGGTCGGTTTCACCAGAAACTCCAACTGATGGGAAAACCATGAGAAAACCATGGGTATCGAGGCGGTTTTCTCTTGTGATCTCCAAGAAAAAGTGAAGAGAAGGCGAAACCGGGGAGCATTTTTAAGGATCTTTGCTGAACATTTGGAGGCTTGGAACCAGCAAAAAAATCCAGACCATGGATTTGGACTATGATTTGCCTATTGGAGTTGTTTTTCTCAAAATGTGCTCATTTGGTATGATCTTTGAATTCAGGTTGATGGTGACTTGTTGGATGCAGGTTCATCAAGATGAATCAATCCGAGGCGGGGGAAGCCTGCGCCCAGTTGTTGTTCTTTAAAGTGACGGCATGAAGACGACTGGGCTCACTTGGGCATTTCTTAACCATTGTTTTACCACCAACCAGATATGAATTGTGGATTTGAGCATTTCTTTCAAACCGCGGAGTTTTCATCAATGCTGATGGATCTTTAGGACCTGAGCCTGTTTGCTTTGTCGCTAGCTGGTCAGAATCCGGCTGCTGGGTGGGATCCCAATTTTGAATGCAATTCCCATGGATGGGACAACTGCGTTTGAAATTCCCATCACTTACGACCCAGCTCGCCATTATCTGGATTAATAAACATCATAAACCATGACTATTAGTTTGTTGGGGTTATCCTCAAACTAGCAAGATGTGATGACTAGCTGTCAAACTCGGCAAAATTGGTAGCAATCCGTGATTTTCACATCATTTTCACAGGGTTCTTACTCATCATCAACCAACCCATTAAACCCATCATAATAAACCATAATAAACCCATCATAATAAACCATAATAAACCCATGAAACCCATCATCATAACCCATCATAAGCCATCAATTGGTAAAAATGGGGTCTCAAGTCCCGCCTAGGAGGTGATGGCAGCCCGCGCCAAGTTGGCTCAGAAGTTTGACGCTGTGCGCACCGGTGGCAAGGGCACCACCCGACGTCGGGGAAGCCCAGCACTCACTGGGGCGGTGTTTGGTGATCCGAGATAAACACCAAAAAGGCTAGTAACTTCTGGGGAAAAATGATGATTTGACTGATTGACCATGATTTTTTTTGGGTATTTTCAGAGAGAAACCCATTTTTTGAGCGATGTTGGATCCTGAGGTCGAAAGATGGTGAAACATCAGGCCAACTCTGCAGATGAGAAGCAACTCCAGGCCCATTTGAAGCGATTGGGCCTCAACAACATCCCAGGCGCACCGGATTGGCCGGGGGTTTTTCCCGGTTGTGGGGACAGCCGGGTCTAAGCGGCCAGGTATTGAGGAGGTGAACATGTTCACTGAAGATGGCGGCGTGCTGCTTGATTCAAAAGCCCTGTGGGTTGATGACTATTGAGACTTATTCCCTGTTATGAAGAGTTCTACCATCACATCTACAAATTGTTTATAACATATGAATTATAGAATATGATGCAATGATTATACAATATGAATATTAATATTAACATATTATTGTTATTATTCCTTAGATAGCATATCATTACACATCTATCTCACTATTTCGTATATCTTAGGGATCCCCCAACGGCCCAGCTCAGGCTTCATTTCAATACCCCGAAGGTCCAGGCCGCCGTGGGCGCCAACACTTACGTGCCCTGGATTGAAACGGGAAAGCGATGGAAAGCTATGGGTCCCATTGGATTCCTGTATGTATATACTGTATATATATGTATGTGCATATATAATAATAATAATAATAACAATAATAATAATAATAATATATATATATATATACATGTATGATATATGTATGCATATATGTATATATACATATATATATATATATTGATTTTAATGAAATTCCTACTTGAGTCTTGGAGTCTAGCAAACCATTACATACTATGACATTGTTGTTGAAAATAATCATGGCCTGCCCTTAGTAGGCAGTGGTACTTCCCAACAAGAAACCCAGAATGAACATTGAACATATGTGCCTTCCAAAAGTTCATAAAAGTTCTAGACTTGGGTTTCGGGAGTTGCCTTCAAAATTGCAAGAGACAAGAGATGGACACAGCCTCATGGATTGGGAAGTCTTGTTACCGATTAAGAGCGGATCACCAGATATCACAGCTTTACTGCGTAGCAACCCGCGGAAAGATAGGCAGGATTTTACTTTTCTATCTTTTTGAGGCTTCCCACATGATAAACACACCCATATATCCTCACATATATATATATTATCAATAATCTATAATGTATAATGTATATATATATAATATAGCATATAATACATAATATATAACGTATAATAATTAATAATGTAAACTATACAATATATAATGTATAAGGTATAATGATACATAACATTTAATATTTGATATACAATATATGGTATATATAATATAAAGAGAGAGATAATATAACACATAGCTATATATATATAATAATATAATATATATATAATATCATTATACATTCAATATAATATATATTTAAGATATAATGCACACACACACACATATATATATATATATATTATATACGTGTACATACATACATACATACATACATACATACATACATACATACATACATACATACATACATACATACATACATACATACATACATACATACATACATACATACATACATACATACATACATGCATGCATACATACATAGAAATACACATGCAAACATTGACCAGAAGTTTTGCGCCACGATCATTTCCACGACCTGCATCTTGACAAGGTGATCAGTGGACAGCCAGAGAACAAGCGTTTAGAGGATCCTGGCCTTAAGGGGGTTTTGGCCACCCCCTTGATATCCCTTGTGCTTTGGATCTCTTGGAGAGGGTGGAAGAGAGGGAGACAGCCTGTGCTAGGGAAGGTTTGGAAGCCCAAGCAGAACTTGTCCCCTGAAGCTGCAAGTGCCCCTTTTCCGCCTGTCTGGTGCTTCCAAGGAACTCTTGCCGGGAATCATCAATCAGCCCCTTGGTGCATAACCGCGGCCGTCAACTTGGATGTGGTGGATGGTTGACCTGCACATGCCAACTTCAGGACATACCCAATCCCAAGGTCCCCCCAAAAAGCTGGGGCCTCCGACTCCAACCAAGGCTTGGAGCAGACAACTTGATGAATTTGAGAAGAATCGCTGAAGGCGCGCGTGTTTGTGTGGCCCGAAACCATATGGGTTGGGCTTGCTGGGTAGTTTCTGACTGTTTCTTAATGTTCCTCACTCCCGGTTTTTGTCCGGAATAACGTCAAGTAAAAGATTGGGCGCCCACGAAGTGAGGCCTCCAAGAAATTTAAAGGATGACTTTGCACGTCTTTGCGACATCAATTGTCATTCCTCCAGCATCCTCAAACAATCACCACCAAAATCCACCCAAGGCATCAAAACGGCAGACTCTACATGAGATCACCATAAGTCTCAAAAAAAACATTCAAAAAACTACTCCGACGACATCAACACCATATTTCTTCCGTTAAACCGTGGTGTTTTTTACTCCGTTCAACCACCAGCCATTCGCCGCAGGTTTCAAGGCGGCACCTGAGGCTCCAGGAGGCCGCGATATCGGGGATCGGTTGTGGTTTCCTGTCGTGGTGATTGATGTTGATGTTAATATATATGGTTAATATCCAGGTTAATATATGGTTAATGATGGTTAATGATGGTTAATAATGATTACCATCTGGTTATGACTAACATAGCCATGGAAAATGTTAAAATCGCCATGCTATTAAACACAGTAAAGCATCTATTTCGATTAGGGCCATCTATACCATGGCGAACTGTTAAATAACCAGAGGGTAACTATAGAACATCACCATTTTTATGGGAAAATCCACAATTTCTATGGTCATTTTCAATAGCAAACTGTAAACGTTTACCAGGGGGTAATGGAACTCATGAGAAAATCACGGAGTCATGGAATTAATGGATTACTAGTGCTGATAACTGGTGACGAGTGGTGAACATTGAAAGTGGTAATATGGGTATAGTGTATGGGATATATTGGATCATTTGAGTAAATTTACGAGTGACCTCACTCTGACCGAACCCTGGAAAAATGGTTAGATTGCAAATCATCCTCGTAGCTGGCCGATGCTGGCCGCAAGTTTCAAGTTTGTGAAATATTATAAGTTACCCAGATCTAATTGGGACATTAATATAGGTGCTTAAAAAATGGAGGGGATATAGAATACGAATATCCTCATATTGATGTTAAGATGGTTCATATTTATAGGGATTTAATCCCAAGATATTGGCGGTTGCATCCCAATGATGGGGGTTTTACAGGGATTTACTGATCCAAATGTTCATCAAAGGATCTGCTACGAGGATGTAACTGGGAGATATCATCTAAGTTTGATAGGACGAAGTTGAGATCCTCATTTTTCATTTGTACGGATTGAATCATCCACTAAATTGGGGAAGGTAAGTGGAGTTACCCTTTGGTAATTTAACATAGCCACGTCAAAACATCATGTTTCACAGGATATAGCTGTCATCCAATAACGGGAGATCATTGGGATGTACCGGGAACATGTACCGTCTTGTAAACATACAAAAAGCTATTGAAAATTGCCCATAGAAATAGTTGACTTACCTATTGAAGATAGTGATGTTCAATAGCAAACTGTTAGTTTACCAGAGGATAACCATCATATATCCCATTGAATCCCATTAAAACACCATAAATATCCCATGGAAATCCCCCATTTTCCATCGCTAACCACAACGACGCGGTATTGGGATGATCCAAGCTGTGGCAGGTGACGACATCCCCGACATCGGTTTCTTGGCGATCCAGAGATGTTTCTGGGTGCTGAGCTGTTTGGTTTTCCATGGTTCTCATATATGGCAGTGTGTCAAAACCTTGTACCCCTGGTGAACATCAAAATAGCTGGGATTTATGGATGTTCATCCCCCTAAAAATGGTATTAATAGGTATTGATCCATAGCCATATTAGTTTTCATCTCGAAGTGACTGGGACTGGATTTCTGACCTTGCATTTTCAAAAAGTGGAGCACCTAAATCGCGACGAAGATTGGTAAAAGTGAACCACAAGAAACCAAACTCATGGTTCCCTTCAATGGATAGCCAGGTCTGAAGCCCAAAGTGTGCCAGCGAAGTTAGTATGACAATGTCATAAAATAAATTCAACATCATGTAACATCATGTAAAAGTGGGGGGGGGGTACCACGGGGTACCCCAAATCATCCATTTTTCTGTGGGATGTTCCATGAAATAAACCATGAAATAAACCATGAAGCTATTGGGGATCATCAGCTTCCAGGTGAGAACTTTGAAGAGGTCAGCAAGCAGTGACCGTGACGACATCGACGACCCACGACTAGCGTGAGGCGAGAATTTTGAAGAGGTCAGCGCGTTGTGGGTTTGTCTGAAAATACCCCGAGTCATCCAAGATCCAAGTGGTGAAATCCATGGTGAATCAGCAGTTTTCTGAGAAAATTCCATGGGTCAAGCACCATTTTCATCTCCATTTTCCCTATTAAATTGGCAATTTCGGGGCTTAGCCCGTTTTCAGACACACCCTTGAGAGAAACCCTAAGAGGCTGACAGACTTTTCTCGACGGAACACCGCAAATCGCAAAAAAGAAGACGCTTAACGCGGCACGGTGCGAAAGGCTGCTCAGGGAGATGTAGAGATTTACCACGATGTCCCCCCATGGGTTAATCCTATATATATATATAGTCTGAACCATTGATAATCATTGATATATAGGTTTATCCCCTGTTATATGATGAACCGTATAAATCCATATAATCTAATAAATAAATCTTAATCCGCATGTTAATCCACTATTCGAAGATAATTGGAGAACCTAAGCATTAATTCTCGGGATGGCCTAACGGGTCAAAATTCAAGTGGTGCCGTTTGATCGTTGATTGAAGGCCTTGGTGTCCTGCATCATTTGCTGACCTTCTTTAGGCGCGGATAAATGCATCAATAGTATATGTATATGTATATGTATATGTATATGTATATGTATAGATATATATTGGTATTGCATGGCAACTGAAGTGGTCTCCACTGTTGCGTGAAAGGATCCAGCCATGAATATTCTACACACACATATATATAATCATATAAATTATATAAATATATAATTATATTTTGTTTATATAGAGATAGAGTATAGAAGATATAGGACACACACATTAATATTTATATGTTTATATTATATATGTATACACAAACATACCAGCGAATAAGACACCAATGCGGGAATCCTCCCGGGAGTCACCATCCACTTTTCTCGTCTGGTTCAAGACGACTCAGAGGTCGTTTGAACATGGCACCAGACCACAGGAAAAGGTGATGGCACCATCATGGGAGGAAGCAAAAAATAAGATATGCACGAGGGATTTTGCTGCGTAGACATGCTGGAAATGGTCTTGGTCACCAAATTGATCCAACTTTTTTCTTGAATTCAAGAGCTCAAGTAGCATCGCAATTCTGGCGGGCCTGATGTATCCATGCCTTTCTTGGATGAAGTTGTATGATTTACCTTACCTAGACTAGCCTTTTTTTTCCGGATGGGCAGCCAGCCACCAACGATCACCAACGAGCTTTTGTTTACTTGCGTTATATACATATTAATGACACACACACACACGTATACATATATATATATAACACATATATATATATATAATATAACATATATATATATAGTATAACACACACACATATATATATATAGTACAACATATATATATATATATAGATGCATATATACATTTATACATGCATGTACATCATATTATATCAAACTGGCCATACAATGTCCCATATTTCTGGGAGAATTTAGATGCCACCCTGACACCTTGGCTCCTGGCATCGCCATGGGTGTGGTGTCGGAAGCCCAGCTACTCAGTTGGTCGAGAACTGGCGGGAAGCCACCGGGCTGGGGCCCATTTTGGGCCCAAAATGGGCCCAAAATGGACATTTGAATGACATTTGATGGGACAATGGTGATTCAGCGATGGATTTGGTGGCTTTTCCTCAGACAAACCCAGCTGAATCATGAAGCATGGCCCAACGTGTTTTCAGCATGGATCGTGTTTCATCGCCATGTCTTCAAGCTGGCTTTTTCAGCACACAGCGAGTTGACATTTTGGGTGAGTTGACAGCCTGGATTCCTGGATTTCCTGGCGCAAAGACATCAGGTTCTCGTTGGTGGAGCTGTCGTTCGGAGTGACAGGCATGGCTTGGCATGGCGCTGCGGAAAGGGGCATCGATTAGCTGAGTAAAGCTGGGATGGCTAGTTCAGATCCGTTTAGTGCTAACCAATCTTGTGACAAGAAAACCGCTGGTTCATCATCATGTCATATCATGTCCCGTAGTATTTTTTGTACATTTTTGGGGTCACATAAAAAACAGGAGTCCAGACCAAGCAGCTAATCAGAGAACAGCCCCATCCTCCGTTTACATTTCTTAACACCCCAATGGCTCATGGGTCCCTATTAATGTGATGTATTGTGCAGTCACGCACTTGCAATGGTGGAGGATGGGTGCTATATGGTGCGATTTTAAGGGGGATTCAATGTGAACAGAATGACTTAACCAGCTACAAGTCCCTTTTATCGTAGGGCTCCATATTTGGGGTATGAAATTCGGGGCTTGCCCTGATTTATGGCATGAGTTCCCATTCCCCCAACTGGGTTGATCATTGGGTTTGGTTTCTTTGAAGCACTTGATGCTTCATGATGCCTCCAACATTGACTCTTCTATGAGTTGAGCGTTCAGTGGTGAAACCCTACGTGCAGCCTTAGATACCTCCAAACTGTTTAGATTCTGCTACTGAGAGCACTGATGCAGAAAAATAGCAACTGAACAGATGCCCAAAACTGAGAGAGAGAGAGAGAGATGCCCAAAACTGGGCATCACTGCCTAAGTCATGAATCGATCGGATGTCTACCTCTTGGAGCTATAGAACCACAGAAGCAGCATTTATTTGGCTTACATAGCCAGTTTTGAAGGATCAATCCAGCTAAAGTCCAGAAGTTTTGCAGGTTACACACCCATCAAAACAGTAATAAAATGGACAAACCCAGTAAAAACACACATGCCCACGCAACTGTTGGTTGTTGGTTCATCAAAACCATATTTTTCCAATTCTCGGAATTGGTTATGGGAAAAATGGCCAGAATCCCTTATTTCATGATAAAAACGATGGTGTCCGGTAGATTTTTCCCTTAAACCAATCCGTTGGCCAGAGGATTTTTCTATTGATAACCATGATTAAACATCATGGACTATTAGTATCAATAGATTACCGAAGGAGATTTCTATTGATTGTTTTTCTGCCAGGTAGCTTGGTGAGTCTTGGTAGTGCCATATGCGGCCTGCATGCCATTGCTTCAGGCGCCCCAAGTTTGGGGGCTGGCGTCGCTCAGGGTTCATGTGGAGGGCGGAGGGGTCAACAAAATGGGTTGACTTTGAGGTACTTTTAGCCATTTGAACATGGTGAAACAATGGTGAAAAATGGTTAAACAATTGTGAAAAATTGTGACAGATACATGAAGATGGTGAAAAAGACGTGACCTTTCTGTGCCTCAGACCCCGCATATATATATATATGATTATATATATATGATTATATATATATATATGATTATATATATACGAAACCACTACTGTAGAGTGGTATTTGATATTAGGGGGATGGGATTCTTACCGCTAGTATCATTTCCCAATATTTCCCACATTGTTTTGGGTTAGTCCCACATTTGTATCCCGTCCTACACCATGATGTGATATTAAGTCCCCATGTTTATGGCATTGTGGATCCAAGATTTCCATGTTTTATTGCTGATGATATGAATAGGGGTATTGAAGCTATTCAACCCTCCAATTTCAGGTGTGCACCATTTTGGCTCATGCTTTTATGTGTTATTAGGTACTGTATTGGAAAATATGCACTGTAAATCGCGGTTTGTAAGGGGTACCGTCCCCATTTTATTGCATTCTTCTGCTTCGCGAGAGCGGCTGGACGTAGGAAGCAGTGAATAGGGACCTGTTTTCAGGTCCGTGAATCGTTGTAATTTATCCAGAACATGTATAATCTTGACAATTAACCCACTAATGAAGCGCAATCCCATCCCTATTCATATTAAACACCCCCTGTAGCCGGGTCCCCAAAATGGGTTTTAATCCCCTGCATCCACCATGGTTTCTGGGGGGTTCGCGGATTTCCCACGTGTGATGACACCAGAGGATAGTTCCATTCATCAGCATTAGTCATAATTCACCAGTATGAAACACTATTAACCAGTATAAAATTATCATTAAGTTATAACCAAAGAAATTCCGCAGCATTTTTTTTTGGGTCAAGCCCTTAGTAAACCATGGTTGATTCATTCGGGGCTACCAGTGATCAGCACCAGGCTCAGCGGTGTTCTTCGTTGCAGGTCTTAGAGAGGTGCATGACCTGCAGGACTGGGACCAAGGTTGTCATAGACAGATAAATCGTTACACATACATGGGTATGGGTCAATACCTATAGATACCATTTTTAGTGGGATGAACATCCATTTACCAGTTATTTTGATGTTCACCAGTGGTACAAGGTTTTGACACACTGCCACATCTATTCAGTGGTGCCCCGGGAATTCTTAGGTGTCAGGTTTAGCAGGCATATACATATATATGATAATTATAATATATTTAAAGACTACTGTAGATATATATATAATTTTATGTGTTATATGTAATGTTTGTTTTAAACATGTTTCCCTGAGATTGCTTTTGCCCTTGCTGTTGAGGAGTCGCTGGGGAAGCTTTCTGCTGACTTTACCAGCCTCTTGGTGCTAACCTTTTCCCGGCGAGCTGATACCCCCGAATGGGAACCCCGAATATCCCATACAGTTCCATGAAGAAATGCCATGAAACATATGGGGGGAACCACCAATACCAATACCAAAATAAAGTTCCATGAAAAAACGAGGTGTGGCTCGTAGTTATTTGGAGACCAAGAGTGAAAACAAGGCGGGAAAGTCTACTGTTTGATCCAATAGATTGCCAATCATCAGCTGCTGGGTATGGGTCAACCACTTGAGAAATCTTGAGAATGTGGAAGCTATTGAGCTGCTCATTACTAGTCTTGAAGCATTCCATTTTTCTATGCTTAAGAACTTGGCCCATACCCATATTGGGGGGTGGTTGGTTGAATGGGAACGTACTAAGAGGATATATTGAATAGCAACGGAACATGTTTAATATCATTTTATACTTCCACGTGGGACAATATTGAGCACGGCATTTCCATGGCATCACCAGAGTCTCAGAGGGCATCCCGTTTCTGGTTCCAAGTCGTAGGGGCATCCTCCACAGCCCTCGGGGGTTGCAACTATGGAGGGCATCCGAACATGGATGCGACGGATAAGCCCAATGGATCTCCTAGAGCGGCGGGCCGAACGAGCCGCACATCTTCAAGAGCTTCAAACTGCAGCAAGAGAGGCGTATCTCAAGGAGGTCCGAGCAGACATCGCCCAGAATATCAAGTTAACTCAGGTAACTTGGGTTGGTGCCTGGCAGGTTTTGATGTTTTTTTTTTTTTTTTTTTTTTTGGGGCCCCTCATCAGACATGACCACAAAGATCCATAAAGCTAGGAGGGTCATGCCGACATCCCTAAAGCGCTTTGGTCCAGAGAATGACGATCGGGATGATGATGATGATGATGATGTTGTTGATGATGATGATATCGCTGGATTCTCTGGGTATGGGATTGCCTGGCAGGGACAACAGCTCAGGAGAGGAAAATGAAGCGATTGAATGCCAAGTTTGCTGCAGAGGCGCAAGATGCGACGCACGATGACATCGATGACGACACGAGCCAAGCGAAGGCTTCGAATCTGAAGGCAACAGGTGAGAAGCGAGTGACTTTTTGTTTTAAGTTGAAACTGTAGACTGGTTATGTTTGGTTGATGCTGCGAAATGTGAACTCGATGAACAAACACTCTTCCTTTCCATTTTGAAGTGTTGGATGACCAAAACATAAGGACATTGAGGCCAGCTCAACTACCAACCAGTTGAAACTAAGATTTTAGCATCTTGAAGTTTCAAGTTCAATTTTATGAACCGGTCTTGGCAAATGCCATGCCTGCCACTACTGTCACTTCATGCTGGGTATTTCCCAAGATTTCAGACCTTTCACCTGGCAGATTTCCAGACCAAAATCAGGGTAGACCAACTAGTTTTGGGTCCACACCTCTCTTGGGGCATGCCCAGAGCCTAGGTATCCGACGTATCCTAGGTCACACCATGATCAGCACGTTAAGCTAGTGGCGCAACAGCGGCTGCTAGTAGCTGTTGAACGTTTGGGCTCTTCAGCTGCGAAAAAAAGCTGCAGCAGCATGTGTGGCATGGAAAAACCCATGCGAGTGATGGCAGCGTTCCCCCTTAATCTTTGGGGTTCAGTAGCCTTGGAATGATGCCTTTGGAGAGGCTTATGGCCTACCTTCCTATAATCCAACATGGCAGCAGAATGGCAGCAGAATATCCATCGATCTCCCCACTGAAACGCAGGGATTGGGTTTGGCAGCTTGGCCCGCTTCGAAAGACAGCTGCAGTGTCCCCTGGTCCGTCACAGACATGTCGTTAGAACAATTCAAACCGCACGGACTTTCCAGCAAGAGATACATTATTTCATTATTTATGATCCTCCATGCTCTTGAAGTCCTTGAAACCGTGTTTGGCATTCACACACACACACATATATATACACATAATTATATATATATATGCACAATTGTATACATATCGTTTTGGTCATGTAACATGTATAATACTAGCATACAGCATAGGCCATCATACGCCATAGCATGTGTATGTTCATAAGATTAGTTTAGGTCAGTGGAAAATAGCGTTCTTTTTCAGCATTGTGCATCATTCTGCTGGATCAGCCTCAGCTGCCCTTTTCCATGTGATTCCCCCAATAAAAGAGATGGTAGAGCCATGTAAAGCCCAAGGCTTCCGAAATTCGTTGGGCGAAGATCAGCACCAGCTAGCGTCAGCATTTTAGGTTAGTGAATCCTTACCGTCGAAGTTTTCCAGAACTATGGTTGTATTAAATGTTGTACCCCATTGTAGTATCCCCATCATCTCCCATCATATCCCTATCAGCATAGATTAGCTATGCTTGTAATATCCCCAAAAATATCTCCCCGTTATCCATCCCCAGTATGTATATTTATATAGTAGATAAGCACACACACACATGTCACGCACACACACACACACACATATATATATATATCTAATATTATAATATATATGTATGCGTAATATATATATATATATATGAGTAATATATATATATATATATATTCACATTAGTATATAAATGATATATAGATTCTAGATATATCCCCTTCTATATCTTCCCATTATAAACGCATGATTTCCCCATGATGCTTGGGTCTTCACCTTCCCTGAGGCCGCATGAGGTCTGCGAAGGAGTCTCCGCAGAAGGTTGGCGTCTTGGGATGAAAAATGGGGGATGGTGTCAGATTATCACTTTTTATGACAAATATATTGACTTCTTACATCTTAACATATCAGATATCACTGTTGAGAACTCATAACCAACAGGTATCACTGCATGACTTATTACATCTTAACTCTTAAGACCTAACATGACCTAACCAATAAACCTGCGGATGATCATGATTTAAACACCGTAGTGCGACTCGCAGAAGACGGCGCTTTAAAACAAGACTCAGGAGGCATCAGAAGAAAATCCTCCTGTGGGATAGACACTGAGGTGGTGGCCCCACACGCCTGGTGCCAGATGTTTCTTTTACCTTCCATTCCGATAGCTCAAAAGACTGACCAAATCATACACACAACGATATTTCAAGTGGTTTAATGACGAAGGTTTCTCAATGCAGTACCTGGTAGTTTGTGGAAGCCATGGCCCATTCAGTTCCAAGAAAAAAACGGTTTTCAAACATGGTGATTTTCCAGGACATGTAGCAAATTTCCGGAGGGTACATCATGGTACATCCAATTACCTTCCATACCATCTGGTTATTAAAATAGCCATGGAAAATCACCATTTTTAATAGATAAACCATCTATAAATGGGCCATTTTCCATGGCTATGTTAAATAACCAGATGGTAACACTTATGATTGTTTCCTTGATGTTTAAATCCCCATTGAAAGAATGGGACGAACAAGCTACAGAGCCTTTTTTTCAGACAAAATAAACATCAATAAAACCACAACAATCTTAGTTCAATGGGAATTCCAGGATCCTAAAATGGGTGGATATTCCCTTACTACATAGGCCTTACATGGGCCTTATATATGGTAGGTACCTCCAATTTAGGATCCTGGGAATTCCCATTGATTAGTGGGCACATCCCATTCAAACTTCGTCCAATCAGGCGGCATCAGTGGCATTGCTTGCGCCCTTGGCCATGCCACTGGGATGCGGTGAGAGATTTCATAGCCAACGTCATTATAAATATGAATATCTACCTTTATATCATATATCTATATTTATCTATTTGTCGATTTGTCTGTTTATAGCCATGCACACATATAGACATGCATATATATAATATATATATATATTTATTACAATATTTAAGTTTATATAGTTATAGGTACATAAATTACATAAATATGATCTTCGAATTTGTCTGATCAAGTTCGAAGAAGTTCCACGGACGCTTCCAAAATCCCTTGGTTTCCCTGCAGGTTGCTGTGGATGATTTCTGTGCAGCAGGGCAGCCCAGCTGAGCAAGGATCAAGGATCACAGGAATGAGATGGAATGAGTGTTGTATTCACCCTCAAGTGACACCCTATAAATACAGTAATCTATCAACTGGTGCAGGATTTATTAATTTATTCCATCCACAGTATCACAAAAAAGAAAAGGGGGATTCACCAACACATTGACACTTGGGGGAGGTCTACAAAGAATCGGAATGGTTTACAGTACTTCCTACCGACATTGAGAAAAAACAAACATCAAATGTGACTTGCCTGGTTGACAATCCAGTCTCGTGCGGATGGGTCATTATTTTGGTAGGTTGCTCCAAAAAGGGTACATGCTACGTCTCAATCTTTTTTAGGTTACTATGTTTTCAGCCTCGTAACCTAGTGATTGAAATCCATCTCACACTTTGTTGCAACATAGAATCACACGATCTATCAATCTATATAACCCCTGACAAAGAGATCAATAGAGCGTTTTGATTGATATTGATTCATATTCATTGCTAGGGAATAGAAATCAATAGATAACACAGAGGCTAATATCTATTGCTACTCTCACCTATGTAGCCTCTCTCTATATCAATCAAGATTGCCCAAAAACGGGACATTCACTGACCATTGACCGCGGTTGACTCAACAATGGCCTGGAAATTCGTTTCATAGGCATGGATGGCCCAGTTCAAAATTGGCGCAAACTGTAACGAATTGCCAGAGGGTACTAGGTACATCCACTCAGTTACCTTCCCCCAGATCTATAATAATTATAAATCACAATTCAGAGGGTACTGGCTATCTTTAATTATTTTAATTGAATTAAAACATATTAAAACATATTAAAACATATTATATAAAACATATTAAAACATATTAAAACCTCATAAAGTCATCTAAAATCCATATACTTTTCATGGGTTTTCACCCATTGAAATCTACATCCACCAGCCACTCATCCAGGTGCCTTCTGGCCTGGAGGGTGGTGAATGTACCGCAGCTTGGTGGATTTTTACCTGGCCCAATAGGAGGATTTCACCGGGATGACACGTTTGGATTTTACCACTTTGCTATCTGAAGATTTGGGTTTACCCTCTGGTAAACTAATATAGCTATGGAAAATGGCCCATTTATAGTGAGTTTTCCCATTAAAAATTGTGATTTTCCATAGCTATGTTAAATTACCAGAGGGTAACCAACCAAACAGTGACATTTCACAGGGCAAAATATGGTGCTTGAGCTATGTTGAGCTATCACAGACATGGGGATTTTTCACCAACGGTAGGGACTTAGTCAGCAATTTAGGGGTAATTAGGGATATAATTAGCGGACACACTACATAGCCGGATGCCCTGCGATGTATAAGAAACATGATATATTATATAGATAATACTATGAATTGCTTGGGTGTGTCTGAAGATTGGGGAGATCCCACAAAATGGCCACGTTGCGCAAGGCCGGCCCTTGGATAGGAAACATGATGATTAAAGTAATCGACGGATTTTGGAGCCCCCAACTTTCAGACAAAAAGTATTTGAATCCTAATTTCATCACTTGATCTACTATAAACCATTATACACCACATTAGACTTTTTTTTCTCCGGAGGCCTTCTAATTGGATTTTGATGATTTCAATTTTTTAGGGGGCAATGTGGTGCCCAGCCCAAATTCGGCACGCCTTCAGATGGACCAAGGTTTGATCAAACACATCACTAGGAGACTGTCGCAGGTCACGTCATTCATCAATGATATGAATATTGCAAAACATTTCCGTAGCTAATGGCTAACCCATAGAAGTACAGAATATACTTTGTAAACATCATTTTTCAAAATAATGTTTGATGGATTGAATGTCAACATTAATATAATATATATATATAGATTTCACAATTGCGGGTATCGATCTGAAGGTCCGTGTAAGGAGACTTGATTGTGATGACCCTTCTAATATCTTCTAATAACGTTGGTATCTCTCGGGAAAGTTGCTTTGTTTGAGTTCGCGAACATATGTTGACATTTTCAAGTTCGGAAAGGATGAACAATCATTGTAATGAAGCGTAATTGATCATGATATAAAATTTGGGGAGATATTCGCGAAGGTCATCAATTAATTAAGAAGCGGGCAGCTCTTTGTTTGTGCAGTTTGAGGGGATGGCCTAGCAAAGCCTTACTTATAAACCCAACAAAGCGCGTGATACCCTCTGGTCATTGAACATAACTGTGGAAAATGGCCACAATTAAAAGGCAAATCATATACAACATGGGTCATTTTGTATGGCTATGTTGAATCAACAGGGAAGGGATTCTGTGATGCTACCTGCATATTGTTGCCCCACATGGGTTGTATCCAGGCGAACGAAGGATATTGATCGACCAAAAACTGTCTGCAGTATCTGGTAGGAATATATACATAGGGTGCATGATTATAGAATATGATAGATACACATATATCTTCGGCAAGGAATTTTGGAACCCATTGGAACCCCCCCAATTTTACCATGGGTGGGATCCCATCAATTTCTATGGGTGGTTTATGACTTTGCTCAACAGTTGACCGAGGCAAACCGGCAAGATCGCTTTACCACTTCTGGCCCGGCCCTGATTTCAGAACTGCTCCGTGGCTAGGAACATCCCCAATCATTTATGGCCTAAAAATGGCTTACAAGCATCGAACGAACTTCGGGGGATTTTCCAGGCCATGTTTGATGACAGGCGTCCATGGCTTCATGTAGGCGAGATCCGTCGGATCCATCAAGCTCCACCAGGATTTGAAATGAAACTGGTAGTGATAGCCCAGGTCTTGCTTCAACGGCTATTTCCTGGTGCAGCTTTTTTGGATTTCTGACTGTATTAGGGGTTTATTGAAATGTAGGACTTTCATGCGGCACACATCTGCAAGGTACCTCGAATTTTGGCACCTCAAATTTCTGACTCAAGTTGGGATTCATGCCAACTGAGGCCCATCAGGCTCTATAAAGCTTAGACAACCTAAGACACATCACCGGGGTAGACGGGTACTTAGATACACCCCAGCTTTCCTTGGGACCAGCCCAGTGGGTCCTGGAGGCACTCTGCCTGGCTTTGCTGGTTGTAGCTCCACGTTTCTGGTGGTACCTGATGACTGCCACTTGGTGCCATGGGGGCTGACCTCGGATAGACCAAGTAGCTGGCATACACAATTCCCCATATTTGGCCCATAGTATTAAGACATATTAAAATTATTAAAACATAAAAACATATTAATACCAGAAATCATGGTTCAGTCGATGTTTTTTTACATATGTTTACATATCTGACATATCTTTACATATTTGGGAGAATGCAATGGGGATGTTTTTCATATGGGGGGGGATGGGATTCGCAAGAATGACACATCGGAGCGTGCCAGCGAACATCCCGAAGTTTTCTTAGGTCAAATCTACATGGACACCGCTGATGGTCGCTGAAGTCTCCTTAATTCCATAATCTTTAACTGGATAATATATATATATGGATACATATTATATTGTTATATGATGTTATATGCATATTCATTTATAATATACATATGGTTATCAGTTATATACTATATATATGCTATACAGCTATACACGTGTATATATTATATATATACACGTGTATAGATACACTATATATAGATATCAGTTATATAAGTTATATAAGTCCCAAGTCGATTTCTTTGGAAATTCTACATCCTGACTGTCAGTGGGTCCTCGTTAGGCCACTGGATGTCTGGCCCCACCCATCACCTGGCTGACGGCGCGGGAGCTTCAATACGCTTCGAGCAGCAAAAGATGGGGAGATCACTTTGATAAATAGATACATGACATGATATTATAGATATGATATTTAGATATAGTTCTAGTTTTAGATACATTGATATGTTATTAATATCTTCACTTATAAAATATATTTAGATACATTGATATGATACATAACATAAAGAACAACATGTAATAATAAACAATACCAATAACAATAATAAACCATATAATATATGATAACAATAATGATAGTCATAATATAACCTAGCATAACATGATACAATGAATATATGATATAGTGTAACGTGATGTAGTATAAGAATGATAATAACAATAGCATCATAACAATAACAATAACAATGATAGCAATAATATAACATGTAATAATGTAACATAATATAATATAACATAATATAATATAGTATAATATAATATACACATTTTGGTAAACTAAGATAGCCACACTGCTATGGAAAATCAGCGTTTTAGTAGCCAAGTCCACTATAGAGCCATTTTCTATAGCTATGTGAAATTTCCGGAGGGTAACGTATCAAAGCTGAAAAGATGACCGAAAAGAAGTGGCCGTTTCAAGCTCTTGAAAGGTGTCATGTTACACTTTTTTTCCCTGAAGGACATGATATGTGCATATAATCATTATAATCGTTGATATGTATGAGACGCAAAATCTGGCTTGTTGTTTCAAATGTTTGGCCTGTTGAACAATTGCAATGACTATTTTTTACATTGGATGGCTGAACCAAGAGCCAGAAAAAGTCGTTGCATCTTCGAGTGCTTTGAGTTCTACCCTTGCATTGCGCTGCAGGCGGAATTCTCAGAACGCCCCCCGCAGACGACTTCAGAAACACAGCAGGCAGCACCAGCCGAAAGTCGTGCGGTACCATTTTCTTTACCCAGAATACGGAAGAAATATGGGTACGGGTCAAAACCCTGGTACCTAGTGAACCCCAAAATAGCTGGTAAATTGATGTTCATCCCACTAAAAATGTATCTATAGGTATTGACCCATACCCATTTTTATACGTATCCAATCGGCAAAGCAGTAAACAGATTAGAGCATACAAAATCGCCAGACCAATGTGCGAAGAATGTCCATCAGGCAAATTTTGATTGCGAGAAACTCATGTGGGTGGTGTAATTGTGGAGGACAAGTGGTTAGTCCTCGGAACCTTAGAGTGACACTGACATTTCGTTTTTTTCTTCTTTTCCACTGTGCCTATTTTGGAGGTAACCGGAGAAACATGGATGAACCAATTGGGGTTTTGGCCACTGAGTGTTTCGACTTCTGAATCCAAGTATCCCAAAAATCATTCTGTGGGCTTAAGTGCCTTTTTTAAACTCCAAGTTTAATGAGAGATTTATACAGAAATATACAGAATATTTTGGAATGAAACCGTTGAAAACCCATTTCAGGGATTCCCACTCTAACTTTCTATGGGAAACAATGAAACCATATGATATAAAGCAATAGTTTCTATTGGATGTAAAATTTAGGACATATTCGTCTACCCTTTGCTAAAGTAACACATACCTATGTACGGAAAACCATGTTTCTATATACATCTTCAATAATCATTAAGTGCAGCAAAAAAAAATGTGAAATAACGTGAAATCCTGAAAAATGCATTCTGCAGTAAAGATGGCAGTCCTTCTGGAAGAAGGTAGCATGATTTCGAAAGAAAGTGTATAGACAGCAACGCTTTTATAAAATATCATTCCATTTGAAACATGCAATATTCATTGAATATCATTGAATCTTCAGTTCAAAGCCAAGGACTTGCTGTCTACAGGTCGGTCCACCCTGTATATCGGCTAGATCGAAATACCACTTCCACTTCATGTCGGACTCTCTGGCCGGCACTCTGTTAGGAAACCATTAGGAATTCAATTCCATGGAAGAATCTCATCTATCCAAATGCCAGACAACAAAAAAACTAACAAGAAAACAAAGATTGGGGAGACATGTGGGGGGCTGACATAGTCCCAAAAAATCATTGTTTTTTCAAGTTTTTCTGCCATTTGGATAGGTGAGGTACATCCCCAGAATTTTTAGGTCTCAATGGTTATTTTTCGGCAATGAGATGGACACCAAGTGCCAAAATTTGGCATTTTCACACATGCCCAAAAACCATCAAAAACCCAACGCTCACAGCTTTTTTTTTCTGTTTCAATAGCAGGATATATAGGTTTCCTGGCACAAGAATCGCCCAGGTTGGCGAGGCCACGGCCGACAAGGACGAGCCTACGATGGACGATTGATACACCTGGCGTAGAAAAGATGGCGAGTGACTCAGGGCTGGTGAATCGAGATCATGTTCCGAACAGGAAATCGTAGCTTTCCCACATCTTTTTTGTGGCCAACTTCTCATATCAGCCGAGCCACCATGCAAAAGCACCGTTGTTACCACCAAAAAATGACCCAACATCCATCAACCCAACTAGGGTAAACATACTCTTGGCAATCGACCACCATTCGTTGAAGCGTTCGTGGATGAAAATGAGGGACCCTTTGAAATCCATGGCAATTCATCATTTAGTAAATTTAGTTCAAGGATTTTCCCAGCTACAACCCACCATTTGTAAACAACTTTCCCAGCTACAAACCTCCATTGTCCTCGGGGATTTTCCAGCAAGCCAGTTGCGGGTGGAGGACTAACATCATTTGACATTTGCTTCTTGTTGGATAGATCGGGCCAATCCAGAACTCCCAAATATTTCCCGATGCCTTTCATATTTCTGCCCGTTGAACTGCATGTGGCAGCCATTTTTGGATCGCTGCGGCAGCGCGGAAACGAAACTGTTGCTTTGCTGCTTTTGAGTTGCCAGGATGGTTTCATTCCATTGTCCCATTGCTATCCATTGCTGGCAAAGTTGGGGGTAATTATCCTAGGAGTAACAGTAACATAGATGTGGAAAACCCATGGGGAAACCCGTTCGGAAGACGATCTACAAGGGGTGGGGGAAGTGATAGGTTGTCTTTAACCACATACCAGCTGGGATGAAGCATGGTTCTAAGCATTTCCCAACCACAACCACATAAAACATGGGATGCTCATCCTACTTCTTCTTGATAATTATCTATAGCAAAACTCGAACAGATATATAATTTTCTTGTGATGAACTATATACTTTTCCATTCTTTTTGGAGTTGCTATCATGATGTGATACCCTCCGGTGATCCACCATGGCGATGGAACATCGTTTCCAGCATGTCCAGCCCAGGTTCCAATGCTCAGCCTGGGTGTTGGGATACCAAGACCCAGTGCAAGCCCTTGACATTTGGATCAGGAGGAGGTCATTGGCAGGTGAATGATTTGAGATAGGTGTAGAATATAGAGACATTTGAAACATACCCTCTGGTTATTTAACATAGCCATGGAAAACGGCCCATAGAAATAGATGGTTTACCGTTTTTAGAAATGGGTGGATTTTCCATGGCTATGTTAAATAGCCAGATGGTATTTTTTCAGTTGAAACAAAAATCACCTTTCACAGACCTTGTGGAGGTCGGAAGGGCGCCCCTTCTGCAGGCTGAGGCGCGTGCTAACTCCGCGCCGTATGTTTTCAATGCGGAAATCACCTGCAAAATCAGTGGTTGATAATGGTTAATGATGATTGATAATGGTTCATGAATGTTAATGGGAATAACATCGAGGTTAAAAAACATGTTGATAATGGTGGGTATGGTTAATGAGGATTGATAATGGTTGCTGATGGTTAATGATGATTAATAAGGCTTGATACTGGTTAATGACAAATGAGAATGGTCGATCATGGTTAACGGGGATAAACGAGTATTGTATAATGGTGCTTGGGAACTGTCAATGATTACGAAGAGATACTAGTGGTTCATAATGGTTAATGATGATTAATATTGGCTGATGATGGTGATTACTGATAAATTTGTGGAACTATCCTTTGGTAATCATGGCTAGCTGGGACATTCCCTAAAGGTAATGGTTTTAATGGGAAAAGTATCGAACTGGGCGAGTTTCCATTGCGATGCTTGATTTCCGGAGGGTATAATTCCGGATGATAAGACTTGGGACGATCCGATCCTGACCAGTATGGTTTGGATTTTCCTTTCCATGATCATTTGGAGACTATAACCACTCGTCAATAGGACCTAGAATTCAAGTTGATCTAGAATTGAGACCTATAAATATCATCAAATATCATCAAATATCATCAAATATCATCAAATACCATCAAATATCATCGAATATGCTACATTATGTTACTAGTACATTCCAAAGTCGGACCGAGTCCTTCAATTTCGCCAAACAGGCGTCCAGCCGCCGAATCCATGGAAACTCGGTGTCCTCCAGAGTGGGTGACGGCCCCAGCGATTTGGTCGTAAACAGTGAAAAATCGTGGACATGTCTCCGGATGTCTTGGGATTTTCCATGGATTTGCCATGGGATTTTGGGATCTTCCATGGATTTTCCATGGGATTTTGGGATTTTGCCATGGGATTTGCCATGGGATTTTCCGATTCACGATGAACAATTCCATGGGAATCACGATGATTTGCTGTGGATTTGATGGGATCCATTATGATCTCGTGGGATCTGCCATGGATTTCATGGGAGATGGCGAATTAGCCTCTGATTCATACTCTAACAGCATGCGAACTGGAAAAACATCATTGGGAAATCATCTGCCAACGGCCCATTTTCAGCAGCTATGTTAGATTACCAGAGGGTAGAACTATAGTAGATCTTACTCCTTGAGAAGCCGACGGAGAGAAATATATATAGAACTACAATGAATTGTAATGAATGGTGTAGATAGAACTGATAGAACTGAAGTCGGTTGGATGGTAGTTAGTATTTAATCCTGTTTCGCATGTTCTACAAAATTAGATTAGAACTGATAGAAGAGTAAAATCTGAATCTACCAGTAGTGGGAAATATTGAATCTTCTCTTCTGAATCTTTTTGGGTGTTGCTACAAAGGAATTTTGTGGGTCAAAGTTGAAAACCCAGAAAACAACGTCGATTTTCGTCGATTTTTGGGTTCCGAACTTGGGAACCCAATTGCAACATACCCAACTTGGGACATCATTAAACCTAACCATCTAGAATAGGTGTCATATCTTTGGCGCATCTAAGGACCACGACTCATGACGATGCTGATTTTTTTCCACTGTGAATATGACCATTATGACCTGGCTCAAGGCTTCATAGGAATTAGGAATATTAATGTTTCAGGAGATTTCAATTGATTTTTGCCAGGATTTGGCCGATAACTCAGAGTTAATCACTGTATATCACTGGCATGTTTGGCTCATCCAAACTGATGGTTTTCTGTAAATCAGTCCGTTGAATCAAATTGCAGGGCCACGGTCCGGGACCGTGTGACTTCCACCATTTGGTCATTTCCAGTATGCTTTCGTGTTTGGTTTGTCCATCTCTGCACTTCTTTTTATGGAAGTAGGTTTGCATCATGTCAGCTCATCGTCAGAGCATAGATAGAAGCAATGACAGACATGATTTAACATGATCCACAGGAGTAACTTATGGAAGAATCTAGCACGCAACAGAACAGAGCAACACGTTGAAGCATGCGTAGCATTGCCTGCTTTCAGCTGCTTCACCACCACTGTTTGCCTGCAAACGAGCTCTTTGGGGTTTCTTGATCAGCTGGCAGAAAGTATCGCGCCCAAGTACTCTTTGGTAATCAAACACGGTAACGGAAAATCCACCCGAAAAACCGATAAGCCTAGCTTCAGCCTGCGCAAACCCAAGGCAAAGTGGCAGCCCTGAGTTCAAGGTCTGTGGTAGGCAGTCTACCCAGTGCAGGCTGGGGACGCGGGACAGATGGTGCTGTCTGTGTTTGTGGGCAGGGGGAATTGAGGTACATGAGCTAGAGATGGGACCAGAGAGATAGGTGCCCTTCTAATATGTGTATATGATTATTATGATATTATATGATATTATATGATATTATATGTGTATATATATATATTATCTATCTATCTATCTATCTTTCTTTCTTTCTTTCTTACCTTTCTTTCTTTCTTTCTATCTATCTATCTATCTATCTATCTCTCTTTATTTATCTTTTTATAACATGCAGCAGGGAGCACTCTCCCTCCCTCTCTCTCTCCCCCCTCTCCCTGTTTGGATATATTAAAACATATATGTATATATATATATATGCACACACGTGTATTATATGTATATTCAATTATATATATATATATACACTTATATATATAATTATAGTTTTAATTACATATATAATTATATATAATCACATATACATAATCATATATATCTTAGTATGTATGTATATATATATATATGCATACATGCGTGTGCAGGCCTGGCAGCGCGCGGCCTGCTGGCGGGCGCACTGGTGGCAGCCACGAGGTGCCCCTTTTTTTTTCGGGATGCGGATGTTTTTATGGCCGTTGAACACGAGATTTTCGAATTTCATGGGATTTTTCAGTGGAAATAACCAACACTTAAACCAACCATAACTATTTGGGTGTTTGTGAAAATGAGGTATACTCCCCCAGAAGTGGCAATTTTCATAGGGAAAATGATCGTCAACCAGTGGATGGAATGGGGTAGCCTTCTTTAAGACAAACCCTGTCATGATATTTCCACATGTTTTTTAAGGACTGAACTTCACTTCAACAATTTGGTGGGGGAAAAAATGATGGCGGCCCTAGAAGAAAATGCCAGGCTCAACCACCAGAACCATCAGCAAAAATGGTGGGATTAAACTGCTGCAGCTCCCATCTTGCTGGCGGTTTAACCAATGACGTACGAATGCAGATGTTCAAAAAAAAAACTGACCAGGACGAATAGGCCCAAAAATGATCAAACATGGAAGATTCAGCACAAATAGAAGTGAGGCCTTTCTCTCCAGCGGAATTTCCGAGGCGTCGTTGCGCGCGGAATCTCCGAGGCTTCAGGCACCTTGGCATACACTGGCTGGTTGGGGAACGTGAGCCCATAACCAGTGTACAGTACAGTGAGATGGGATGGGGATGATGGGGGGTATTTTCCCATGGCTCGGCTCCAAAATGCCATGGAACATGTTTTTTTCGAAAAATGGAACATCATTTTCCTTGTTACAATTGCTGTCTTTGGCCACATATTTGGATATTCCCCGTTTTCTTTGGAGAAACCGAAGGGTGGATTTCTTGACCCCATGAAACTGTTGAGGTCGGCCGCCACAGCAGCGCAGTGACCCAAGGGATACCTGGGATTTTGGAAGGAACCAGGTTGGATTACTTGGGATATCCTGAGGTCATCCTGGATTGTCAGTTCATGATCATGAATGATCGATCGGTAAAACTAGTAC